TCGAATCTTTGGGGGGGCACGTGCCACCCACCCCCACTGGCTCCGCGAGTGGGTATAAAGATATAATCTCCACCATCTGTCAGAGCTAATCAAATCAAGTGGTCACGTGGGAACCAATTCCAATTGCTTTGGTGAGGCCTTCAGCTCGCTACACCGGGAGAGCCCTGTCAGTCACAGGCAGGTGGCTAGGAGATGTTAACTACCTCGACTGCTATGCAGGAGTCCGTGGGTTCGATCCCGACCCTGACGCTTGTTGTATATTTGGAGTTTGCCTACAAGTATCCCTAACCCACTCCCAGTCCCCGGGTCTTTTTCCTCCAATGACCCTAATTCATGACCTGGCTCCCACGTCTTGCTTTTTATGTGCACCTAAACATATCTCCCCCAGCCCCCCGCTGTGCTTCTCAATCAGCTCAACTCTCTCGCCACCAGACCTCTGTCCCTACCACCCTTTACCTATTGTCATCCATCCCAATTATTACCACTTCACGTATGTGCCCCATACCCCACTGCCTCTCATCCACGTTGCACCCATCTGTCACCCTCACTCACCATCACATTCCACCGTATTCCTCCTTCCCTACCACAGCAACATTTGCTCAATTCCCAGCCCCTGTCTCTCCATCCATTCCATCACCTCCCTTACTGACAGCCGCTCCACCCCACCCGTTGCTCTCCTTTTGTCCCTTGTATACCGCCCGTGGGCTTCCATTGTAGGATAGAATGTCTCTCTCTCCGTGGTCGCGTAGATTTTCTTCAGGTCCTCCGGTTTTTCCCTCCACATTTAGAATCAACGTGCCTTCAGAGAATTTGTCTGCTGCTATAAATGTACACGTGATAATCTAATTCCTCGAGCTATTATTTATGGCCAGGTCGTTTATGTAACAATATATATAGCTTAGTGAGCCTTATGTGGTATAATAAAATACTTGCTTTTATTAAATGAACAAAATAGTTGACTTGGAAGACTTCTGCTCACAGTCGTGCATGGCCTCATGTCGTCACTCGCAGTTGTTCCTTCCACGACATTGTTTTACCTGGGTAAAATAAAAGGTAGTTTCGGTAGCTGAACCCAGTTTCTCACTGGTGACAGCCCAGCGTTGTTTTCTGATTAACCCGTCCACCTCCATAAATCTCGACAACTATGCAAAGTGGCATTATTTCAAGTGGGTGATGCATACGCAATTATTTACGTATTTGGATGTGGTAATGCTAAAGTGGTTGGGGTATTGATTATTGCACTAAACTGTGAACCAAGCGATATGTAAATTTAGCGGTGGGTGGTTACAGGTAATAATGCAAATTACACCAACGAAAGAGTTCAAAACGCCGCTGTAAGTCGTGTGGGGCACTGTTGCGCAATCTGTAGGTGGCAGGCTGTTTCAATCGCCCAGAGGGGTGATTCATTGAAGGGCTGTGCCATTATCTCTTTGCAAGCAGTCGAGAACACATGACTGATAACGGCACAACAGAGGTTCAGTAAACTTTATTAGTGAAAAATAAAACAAAAACAGGCAATAAAGTGTATATATACTAGAGGCCGACCGAAATTCGGTTTCTTTTTCGGCGCCGAAAGTAATTTTTTAACTGTCGGTTTACTTTCGGTTTCGGCCGAAAGTAAATTTTTTACTTTCGGTCTGGTTTCGGTTTCGGCCGAAACTGATATTGACTTTCGGTCGTCAAGATCTATTTTTAGAATATAACGCTAGTTCTACGCCTATTTCTGCCTATCGGCCGGTCAGTCGGCGCTAGGCAATCCTATGCGATAGGCTGCAAACACACACACGTCAACAGCAGCAGCTTGGGAGCAAGGTTACAGCCGCAACGATAGTCTGCTAATGTCAACAGATGGCAGCCTGCATCTGCATCCGCGGGTGGAGTCTCTTTGGCGGGATGACAACAAAGTGCTTCTGTTGTCTGTTCCCAGCCGCCTGTCCGCCTTGGCTTGTGTGTTGCGTTCGCTTAAGTGTACACGCGTGTTGATCAGTGGCGGCTCCTGCAAAATCTCTCAGGGGGGGCAAATGTCTGGATGATTGATAAGGATAAGGTCCACCCATGCAATGGATAAATTAACAGCTTAAGCATGTAAAGGCAACTTCACTTCTTTAATATTAATGAAAAATAAAGTGACTTTTACAATACATCTTGTTTGTTTCTATACTCACTATTAAAACAAACCACTCAAGTTTATTTTATTAAAGATTCCACTAGGTGGCCACAAATCATATTGTTGGATGAAACGTGCTTACGTATGATGACGCAAGCACGTATGATGACGTAAGCACGCTAGGGCGAGCCCTCCCGGAAGCCATAGAGAATGCATTGCAGCGCCCCCGTTCGAAAAAAAACATCTTTGAATGTAAGTCTATGGGGCCACTCGGGGCGATTCTCAGCCGTAGTGAAATCGCCCAAAAAGAGGCGGTACTCCACAGAACGTGACATGACGCTGATTGGACTATATCCAGAGGCTGCAGTGACGGCTAGCGTGACTCTGTGGTTGAATGACATTGGTGGTGCGTCGCCCAATCGCCCTAATGAAGAAACCGCCCCTGGTGTTGATACCAAGATTCTAAGTCTGACAATATTGATATTCAGTTAGTTAATAGTTCCATAGCGAATTAATGATAACGAAATTACGAATCTGAGTGAAGTAGAAAATTAAAGTTAATAAACGGAGCAGTTAATCACCGTGAAGAATGTCGAAACATGCCGTGTGGGATTCCTTCACTAAAGTCGATTCTGATCAAAGCAAGACGCAGCAACTTGCTGGGCGAGAATGCGGAAAAAACTGGTATTTCTTAACTACAACATTCGTTTGTTTGGATATAATTACTAAGTAACACCTAAATATTTGATGTTTAGCGACTCTTACTGCAGGCTCTGAATGATTAGTTCTAGATTTATGTTGAATTAAAGTAGCATTGCATCATGACATATTGATAAATCTAGTATTCGGTAACTTCGGTTATATACTTTTCTGTTTCGGTCTCGGTCGAAAATGTAGTTAAACTTTAGGTTTCGGCTTCGGTTTCGGCCGAAAGTCAATATTTAACTTTCGGTCTGGTTTTCTGTTTCGGCCGAAACCAAAAATTCAGTTTCGGTTGGCCTCTAATATATACACACTTTGTATATATATATATCTCCCCCTATCTCTACCCCCTCCCTTCCACATTGTCTAACACACTCACTTTACTACAAGTGCTTTACTCCCACATTAGCACTGGCTGCCCTGCCCATGCTGTTGACGCCGCACAGCTTTGCTCACTTTGAAAACCATTAGAAGCAGTTGGATTTAGAGGCTTGCCCCTTCTTTTCTCTCCACCTGATGAAGACCACTTGTGTTGCGATCAAAATGTCGTGTTTTTTTGCTTTTATTTTTCTATTAATTTATTTTAAATACATTTTATTAGTATTTTCTATCTACGTGACTTTACCGAAAGAACCCAGAATATGTATATAATCAGTATGTGCCGTGTTAGCACGTTGCATGTAATATACTTAAATAGCATTGTGCAAATGTGTTCTACGACAAACGAGCCCTATTCTCATTGCCATAAACTAAAACATTATCTGGTCACGTTATACAAAAGCTATAAATCGCGACGAAAATTAAAAAGAACCTATCAGGATTTATTATTAAGCAGTGGAGTGTAACCTACATTCCAGTAGGGGGGATGGGGGAGGAGTGTACGTTTAGCCGCTCACTACGAATGTCTTCTGTGCCACGGGAAGAGCCCGACAACGCATCCATCAGAGCGACACAGAGAGCTTGGCGTGTGCGTAAGCGTTACAAGCGCCCATTGAAGTGTGGACCTCAAAGGTTTGGATCGCTAAGCGTTTGGATTAACTATCCAAACCTGCAAGGGAATCAACAGTTTATTTACCAGTTACCAGTTAAAGTCCACTGCACTATGTGCTCTTATTCATAGGTGACCTAGCCATAGCTCATGACTGCACTGACTGATATCACCACACGTGGACATTTATAGCAGCAGCCAAATCATGTGAACCAAGGAACGCGGAGAAAAACCCAAGCTCCGACCACCACAGGGAGAGAGAACACGCAGACTCCAAATGTGCAACAGCAGGCATCGCCAGGGTCCAACAATTAAACCCATGACCTCCTGTGTACCGGGCAAGGGAGATAACATGTTCTTGGTGGCAATTAGCAGATAATCATTGCCTTGGTATTACAATCATGCATTCACTTCTCTAATCCAATATTTTGGGGAAACCATCTGAAAGTGGTGCTCTGAATGAATGGCATTGTTGAATGAATGTCCCTTTGCCTGACTGCTTCTTCTCTGTATCTTGTTTTATGTATCCATACAGTCTCAATGTAACTCTACATCTCTGTAATGAAAAAACACTATGAATACCAAAAATATACTTAGGTATATAGATATATACGGCCAACAATTTATTGCAATAAAACGCATCTTCATAGCCCTGCACAAGTTTTCAAAATAGTATGTGCCAATCATTGTCTTTTGCTCTAAGAACTTGGCGACCCGAGTTTGATTCCCACTCATCGCCACCAACAGTAGCGATTAATTAATTATCTGAACCGGTTCTGGGCCTCCCCTAGGTCGAATCAGCCTCAAATGAGTACCTGGTGCAGTAAGGCAGTTTGACTTGGTGCTGGCCACCCACCTCCTCGTGTGTCATGCTGGCCGTTATAGGTGCTCACTAACAGCCCGATAAGTCTATTAAAGCTATACGAGGGGTCTTGTTTAGTGTTGTCTGGTAGAGAAATCTTTCTAGAAACAAGTTTGCCAATGTTGGTTGCTCAGCATCTAAATAAATCAGGCATACAAATGTGATTGCATTAACTGCTATGGTTAACGGACCAATCTAGGTGTGCGTGATGTTTACATCCCCGATTAGCATGGTTTGCTAAGTGCGGTGCAAAATAAGTTCAACATACATACATACAAGAACATGACATATCCTTCTTCTAACCACTGCTACATAGAATCGCCATCTCTATCTGATGTCGAAATGGAAACATAATTGTGAGCAAATAAATCATCACATGCATTATATATCGGATATCAATTTCTATTGGAGAATACCACTCAGGCTTTTATACATTGAAAATAGAATAGTCGTCACTGGCAATGGTCGCTGATGCCTCCTAAGACATCTCCACCCCACGCGTAAACGAGCGCACATCACGAATTTCTCAAATGGCTCCCCACCCTATTCCAAGTCAACCTCAAGGTCCCACTGATACTCTTCACACTCTTCAAGGGACTTGACCATTATATACCTGCCTCTCCTCTTCCATCTGCACTCTCTCTGCTCCAGCAGCAAAGTCCTCATGCTGAAGCCTCCGGTCAATCTCCGCTCAGCAGGGAGGTCGCTCATTCTCAAAACCTAAATTCCCTTCTCCCAGCTGCGCGTGCATCTTCACTCCCTGTCTGTGACCAGGAGCAACTTCAACGCACCTACATTTACTTCAGCCCATGATGTTACGAGAGATGTCCACAATTGTTGAGCAGCAGCTCTTTTGACTGAATTCCATTGTAATGAAAGGCTGCTATGCTGCAATTAACACGGCAATACACTTGCGGTGCCGCTGAAGTTGTCGCGACACTGAAAGGTCCCATGTTGCTGCAAGCTTCTTAAATCCCGCCACCTCTGTCAACTCAGCCAGGTAAATGGACACAGCACAGTTGGTCGATCGGCAGGTCGCGGGCGGTGGTGATGTAAAGCATGGGCAACTCTCACGTCTTTCAAGACGTCTGTGCCCAGCGTGGAAGAGTAAGCCAAAGACACCACTCGAGAGGGGCTCTCTCTCGATCTCCATGTAGCAAGAGGCCCGTCATCCGGGGGTGGCAACAATGGAAGCAACTTGCAGGGCTGCACCTTTACTGACCGCACCATCATTGATCAACCACGACGTGTGTGGGTCCATGTACGGCGTGCGAGTCGAGGTCCAGGGATCTGTTAGACGATCTCTCTGAGGCGGCACTGCTGAGATCATCATCATTGTCTCCGTTATTGACGAACGCTTTGTTGTCTCGGTCCACAGCACCACTCCTCGATTGCTGCCGCGACGATGATGACGACGATGACGACGACTCCCCGTAGGAGAGCACGTGCAGCAGCGTGAACAACCTGCATGGGGTTGGAGGGGGTGGGGGCACGGGGGCGCCATGGTGGCGAGACGGCAGGTCACTCGACAGACCACGGGGCCAATGGTTAACTGACTGAGATGACTGGCAGATGCACCAGCTGTGCCCCCTACTGTGCCAACTTGTTGAGTTTTAGCCGCCCGGTGTTCTGCCTGTTGTTGTGAGCATTGCTCCTCTGCCTTCCGTTGTTGCTAGAGGGTGACTGCCTCCAACTGCCCAGAAGCGTCCTTCACGAGCCTTCTCCATAGAGGCCGATCTTGACACCACTGGTTCCAGTCGTTGGCAAGTCCACACAGCTCCACATCCTACCATACCGCATCAGTTCATCTCTTCTCCAGTCTATGTCGTGCCCGTTTAGCCCCCTCTATGCAGCCAACCAGAAGCAGCTTTACCATGTGGTGGCTGGGCATAGGGGCTACTTGATTCAGCCAACACAGCCGCGCTAGCCAGAGGAGTCCACCGATGGGAATGTGTCCAGATCTTTCAAGGATATGCGAGCTCGTCACACAATCCAGTCTGATTAAACTCGGGATTGTTTTGTAGGCAGGGTCAGCCTGAATGTTTCTAACTGGCAAAGATGTTCCTTTAGAGGCCTCCACATCATTCTCAAAAGCATAGAGAAGGGAGGGCATTACTGTCGCCGAGAAAACCTGGAGCTTCGAGTGACAGACCAAGTAACTTTCAGACAGCGTTACGCAGCCAAATGAAAAGATAATGCTGCCCGAGTGATTCGGAGTGAGACCTCGGCTGCCAAACAGGAGCTGGTAATAAGCACACTGCCCACACTCACACAAAGGCAAAGATAAGGATCCCCAGTATAGCCTTAAGATACTGTTTGGGCAAGTCCTGTCAGCGAGTAGCACCTATGAAGGTCAGCACGGCACATGAGGGGGAGGTCCAGGACCAGTTAAGATAATCGTCACTGTTGTTGTTCACTGAGTCGACACGCACACACACCTCCTATGGCCACGCGTGGGTCTACCCCCCACCCCCTCACCTGTGGTACAGCATGGCCAGGAACTGGACGATGAGCATGCTGGCAGAGGTGATGAGGAACATGAAGGCGAGGGGCGGCACGTCGATGAACTTCCCTTTGTCTTTCATGCTCGGGATCTCGATGTAGAGGCCAGCTCCCACGAACTGCAGCGCCAGGGTCGCCACCAGCCACAGCGCATTGATCATGAAGTAGATGAACGTGCCCTGCACGTTGGGACAGACAGCCCTGGCTTGCTTTACATTGCATTGGCCCGGGGGGGGGGGGGGGTGACCCGAGGCTGTTTTGGGACCCCCTCTTTGTGAGTTCAATTCCCTCCCCTACTGTCCATGCCCAACACCAAATTGTAACTTGTGTTGTTATTGTTTCATGGTTTATACATTTTAGAATAATGATTAAAATAATTTGCAATCAATTAGTAGGAATAATAAGTCATACATAATACAATGTCCTATTAATCTTTTTCTAGCACATACCAAGTATGGTAAGTCGGTGGAACGCAATTCTTCTGTTATTTAAGCATCTCCGGTACTCACGATGATGCGTCGACAGTACCTTGTTTCTTATATCGAAGAGTTCCTGATTCACACGTTTCTTGTGAGCGTTGTCTTCCTCCAGAGGCTTGAGATAGTCACTGATCATGCTCTTCCAGAAGTCGTCTTCCTCCTATCCATTCCCGATCACGGGACAGAAGGTTCACTTTGTGCGATTGTCCAAATAATAACAACTTATTCCGATGAATAATATTAAAATTAAGATGTAATTCCCCACCACTGCACAGTTATTTGCTCGCTGTCGAAGAGAGATATAGGGACCGACTTAATAAACCGAGGAGGAATCACAGATAGATGGGAAGGCCGCAGCCATGCACACCATGTGATAGTGCTGCCAACAACTGCCCACGCGATGCAGTCCTCTGTATATAAACGTGTTCTCGGCCAATCAATGAGGGTTCACATGTGGCAGGAAATCGGAGCAACTGGAGAAAACACACGCATGTGAGGAGGCAACACTCCATCCCATAGAGACGGAACAGTGGAGTCCACATTTGCTGTACCGCCCTCTCCTGGCGAGCCAGGGTACGGCTCTTTTCTGACGCCCACGGGAAGGGAGCTTCACGACATCATCTCAGTGTGTGATCCACCAACCACGTCTAGCAGCAGCGTAGCCACCACCACCTCCAAAATATTAACATCACTTCCTCCCCTTTGCCCAAAATTGTTATCCGGAATGCGCTATCAGTGTCCTGGCATGAGATAAAAACTGCAAGTGGATCTCTCGCAGAGCAATGCAGTGAAGCCCGACACGATCAAGAATGGCCCAACGGAAGCGGATATCACAGAACTAGTGCTAAGGTCCCCTTTTTTCAAACTGTCTCAAAGCCACAAATTAGAAGGACCGCGCCACTTGTTTAATCTTCACAGAAAACGACACTCAGCCAAGTGACTGGTCAGCGAAATTTGGACAACTGGGCAACGCGTTGAACAATTAAGAGCCAGACCACGGTGGGGGGGGGGGGTTAAGATGATGACTTCTAAATCCATTGCATTGCTTAGTACAACAACCCCAATATTCATATAAAATTTAAAGGGTAAACATCTCGATATTATTTTGGTAAATGTATTTCAACGGGAAAGGCCCAATTAGCTGTCAGGCTTTTTTTTACGAGATATTTTCTTTATCAAAGTAAAGCAAGCATATAAAGTGCATGTTTAGGGCTATTAAACACACAACCCGGAACACAACACACGCTGCCATTGCTACCATCTATTCCAATAACACCTTCTGCTGTACTTTCTAAGCTGAGATCTGACGATTACCTTTCCTCCACAACCACTGCAGTGCAGTAGCCTGACTACCGTCTCTATCAATGTTTGTCTTTATCTTCTGGGCACTTATACACAACAAAGACAAAGATCCCCGTGTAGCCTTAACAGACTGTTGGAGAAAGTGCTTGAAGCGACCACCTCTGAACGCCAACACAGCGCACGAGGAGGTGAGTGGCGAGTATCACGCCCGACCACATTTGTCTCCCCAGTTGAGATATTTATACACAGCATCAGGTACTCATTTGAGCCTGAGTCGACCTAGGGGAGGCCTAGGACTGGTTCCGATAATCGTCACTGGTATTGGTGGCCGTTAGCGGGAATTGAACTCGGGTCACCAGATTCTAAGTGCAGTACGTTAACCACTGCACCACTGCACCCCACAATGTATACATAACACACGTGCAGAGAGTGACACACAGACACACGGACGCACAGACACAGACACAAAGACACAACCATAAAAACACAAAGACACAAGGACCCACCTGATCGAGGGAGCACCTCTGCGTGATAGTGTAACCCTGAGGCAGGACGTTCTCAAACATGACCTGCATCTTGTGGTGGCGCTGCCACACGTGGTCATGGCGCCCTGCAAGGAACAAAGGAGGACAGCGATGTGCGGTGCGCTCCCAGTGGAGAGAGCTGCATTGATATCAACGATGATTACACGTTGATTATTATTATTATCGTTAGGCTGGTGTAGCCTGCAAGAAAGCCTGGCTGAGTCACAAGGCACGGTCTTCATGAGGATCTTAACAAGTTACCGTAGTAGAGGGGTAATGTTGCATCTGAGTGTGGTCCCAATTAAGTGATTTGCAGGTATTTATTTTTCAGGATTGTTATATTTTGGTCAATACCAATTACACATGGGAGGAAACTTGAGAACCCGGAAGATGCCCATGCAGAACAGGGGAAGAGAATACAGTCACCCACGCTTCTACTGCAGCAGCAGCAGCGACATGCACTCATTACACACACAGTGCTTGCCACAAATGAACCACAATACATTGCTGATCTCGTCAAGGAGCATAAACAACCACACGAACTTCGTTCATCCGCTTATTGAACAAAGACGGTCACCGCATCGCACGATTAAAATGCATGGTCTTGTTTAACTGACAAGCAAAAACTTTGCCTTTGTTTCATGAAAATATTACCTTTGGCATGGGGGGCGAGGTCCGTGTCTGATTCATCTGGAGGTCGACTTTCGCTCTCTTCTCCTTCTAGATGCTCCATCTGAGTGCTCGTGGTGTCCTCTTGTCTCGCCTCGAGTGGAAGTAGCGTCGTCTCTCCTTCGAGTTCCACCGCGCACGACTCTACTCGGCTGGGAGGGATGATGACAAACCGTTAAACTAAACCATTTTTGAGCTCTACAGTTCTTTATCAGAATCAACCTTGCTATCACAAATTATAACTCAATTAAGTGGCTTATCACGTGGAAAATTCCAGCAGCCAATACTCTAATCGCATGATGATTTTAAATAAGGAGAGAAATGAATAGACGGAGACTCCACATAGGCAACAGGCATCGTCAGGGTTGGGATTGAAGCCACGACCTCCTGTATACCAGGCGAGGTAGTTAACATCTCACCACCACGCCGCCTCAGATACGAGCACAACCAGAATCACATTCTATACGTTGAGACAAGACTCATCATTTACTTTTGAGAACAATGTTGTATTGTGAACCCTTCTCCACCCGACATAGCCAATCAATAATAAGAATAAGTATGTACAATGCAGGAAGCATCCGATGAGTAATTAATATTTTTTCACAGATGTCCAGTAGGGGCATGGGTCAGAAAGTTAAAACAACAAAAAGAGGATAAAAAACGATATGAGTGCCAAGTATAGGAAGGTAAGCAAATTACGATTTTTTTTTAAATAAAGTATATGAGTTCAAATTGCATAAGTACATCAATACTACATGTAAGCTTGGGGCAAGGCAGAAAAACAACAACAGTCCCAAACCACACCAAGATAACACAGTCCCTCAATAACATGGCACAAACATTGAACTATCGATACACGAGAGGTAAGGATCAAAGTAAAAAGCATGGCTACAGGAGCTGATTGAGGTGGTGGTACCTTGAAATGTCATCCTCCTGACTCATCGCCGCATATTCCTTCGGATAGACGCTGATCCTCCACTGGAAGCAGTCCCAATCGAGTGGCAGCACACAGCATTTCGCACCATTGCAACGATGCTTGCGTGTCTTCTTCTGCTGGGGGGGGGGGGGGCATTGTGATGGTAGGGTCCTTCAACGATATCAATCCAGCAGGAGTTGCAAACAAACTGGAAGGTAGCTGCAGCTGATCGGTGAACCAGCAGCAATAACTGTACGACCTCTGCGGTCCTCCATGTATGAAGGTTTTATTGGGCAATCATTGTGTCTACTAGTAAGAAGAAACCAGAGCACCATGGAGAAAACCCAAAAATGTGAGGGAGAAACATTCCGTCCAATACAGATGGAACAGACAGCGTCCACAATAGTCGTACTGCATTCTCCTGGCGAGCCACGGTACGACTTCCTCCTCGACACCCACAACATACATCTGGACCAGTCCTTGGGCTCCCCTAGATTGACTCAGCCTCAAAAATGAGTACCTAATGCGGTGGTTAGTTAACATCTACACAAGGGAGACAAAGGCGGCCGGCGTGGTGCTGGCCAGCCACCTCCGTGTGTGCCATTCCAGCCTTCATAGGTGCTTCTCGCTAACAGCACTTGCCTCAACAGTTGGTTCAAGGCTACATGGGGGATCTTTCTCTTGGGAGGGGTGGGGGACATGTTACACTTCTTTCGAAGTGTACGTAGCTAATCGTGTTTATCGGAGGTGCGGGACAGAGCAATAGAGGAGAATGGAGCAACACTCCAAATAGCGTTGGACACAAAAACAACAACAACAAGAATAACGATAACAAGCAAAGTAACTCACCTTTTTTGGGGTGGGCTCAGAAGGCGCCTTGGTCTCACGCGTGCCCCATGACACGTTGTACATGTTCACCAGCGAGTAGATGAGCAGTAGCAGGTATCCCGTGGGGATGCAGATGAGGTACAAGAATCCGTGCACGATGCAGGAGAACTCACGAGGGTGCAGTGCCGCGGCTATGATGTGTATGCCCATGAGCGTGATTAAGAAGATGCCGCTGGGTGTGAAGAAGCCGTTCTTGACAATGTCGCCGACCATAGCGAGCAGCGTGCCCGTCATGAGGAACATGTAGACCACGGTGAGCACCATGGCCACCTTAAAAAAAATTAAATGTATTTACTTTACCAGGTAAGGCCCAGAAGCCACCTGGCCCAAATTATAGCTCAACGAAGTGGATTATCACGTGGAAATGTATAGCAGCAGCCAAAAACTCTAAACGCAGATTAAACGTGCAGGGAAGAGAAAGAGAACACACAGACTCCAAATATACAACATGCGTTAGGGTCGGGATCAAACCCATGACCTCCTGTATACCAGGCGAGCGAGTTAACATCTCGCCATCGCAGCGCCGCTGCAGGACGATGGAGGAGATATTGGCCATCAGCGTCACCATCGTCCTCTGTGTCCAACCACCACCACTTCTAGGGAGTTACTTTATATGTATTCCACACTTTTCCACAATGTTCTGAAGGCACTGCACTTTAAAAACAACAACAAAATAATGATAGCTCATTGGTCAAGGGAAGGAAGACCCAAGAGGTTTGGGAGCTCATTGAAAGAAGTGAAAGCAAGTGAATGAACACGCGTCCAGGTGTGGTCAGAACACCGCAGCTAGATTGATCAACACACGCTTCATAGTTAACAAGACGGTGCTGATCCAGGATCTGATCAAGGATTGTAGACTCGACATATTGGTCATTACCAAATACCTGGATATATGACGATGTAATTAAGCATGAGGCTGCACCTAATGGATATGCAGTGTCGCGGGAAGCCTGGTATCAGCAGCCCACATGGTGATGGCATCGTACTGATTCACCATGAAGAAATCTGTGTGAAAGCCCTGAGTGACTCTTTAACAATCATGTCATTCAAGCTGCTGCTTATGAAAATAACGAACAGCAAGCGGGGGCTTACAATCGCTGTCGTCTACGACCATCGTCTTCACCGCTGTCAAATAATTTGCCTAGCTTTCTGGTCTGGTAGATTATGGGTCACTTGGCTATCGCTACATTATCTGTGGTGAAATGAACTGTGCTGGACCGACTGGTCATTGTAGTAAAATCAACAGTGATTTCGCCGAGATATTCAACAGTCAGTTTAACCCAGCACGTCAGCCGCACAATACGTCGCTCGGGAAATATACTGAAATACATCTTCACATTTAGAGATGTCGTAACGTTGACCAACGTTCTTATCAAAAACGTGGCTATTCGGATCACAGTCTTGTGACGTGCAAAGTGGCATTACCGATTATTCGCCTACCCATCACAACGACATCACAGAGAGACTGGAAAGGACTGGACCACGATCCGCTCATCATCGGCACGTCTGAATACTGCATCAACGGTCGATTAATTTGCAGCTCAATTAGAAAATGACATTACCACTGTTGTTGATGAACTCGTGTCCATCCAAAAAAGCACTAAGAGATTGGGGAAAGCGCAAAGTGACTTACTGTCACTGGAGGTGATCGCTGTGAAACAGATGCGGAGGAGGCTAGGGTATCTTTGGAAGAAAACTGTTTACAAGACTGTCAGACTCACAGTACTTGTGACGTTCTTCGCCAATAAAGTGATGATTAAGACGGAAGTTTTTAACTTGCAGGCAACACATTCTCCCACTCTGTCATCTGAGTTTGATCAACCTGAAACCAATGCAAAACTCGAGACCCTGGAACTATCGTCGGTCACTCGACTACATCCCGATATTGATTCTCAAAGTATGCTTGGGCGTACCTTTGCTGCTGATTGTCCACATGGAAAATATTTAAATCAGCGAGGACTGTTTCCCAGACCATTGCAAAATGGCGCAGGTAGCACCGCTCCTAAAAAAAGTTGGCTTGAGCCATAGTGACCACCCAGACTATCACCCGATCTGAAACCTGAATATGATTTCCGAGGTCATAGAGTGCCTGTGTCTGAAGCGGTTACTTCCCCACATCACTGCGATGAGCAAATTCAACCCGTTGTAATCGGCGTACCGACAATTCCACAGCCCTGAGAAGACTCTACTAGAGGTCAGTGTTGATCTCTAAAAGATCATGGATGACCAGTGCGTCGCAGCGTTGTTTGGTCTCAATCTCACACCCACCTTCGACACCATTGACCATGAGATACTCATTGAGCAGATAAGGTCAAGGTTCGCTGCATCGGGTATGGCACTAGAGTAGATTGAGTCATACCTGTATGATGGATTACAGTTTGTCAAGCTGGGTGACAAAAAGTAATCTCCTATGCCGTGCCTAGTCAGCGTACCACAGGGGTCCATCCTCGGGCCCTTCCAATTTTCAATATACGTCTCTCTGATCGCGTAACATTAAGTTATATAAATATGCCGATAACTCACAATTTTTAACCGCAATGAAGGCCACGTTAAATATTGAGAGCCTCGGCAACCTCGAAGATTGCATGCGAGCAGTGCACGTGTGGTTTGCAAGAAATGTAATTGTGGGAGGATCAGATTTGGCAGTTGCAGACTCCAGGATTCAGTTTTCGATTAATCTAAATAGCCTCAGCATCGTATTCAGAATATGTCGTGTGATCACCGCGTGTCAAATGTAGTCAAGTCCTGTAATTTTCATATCAGGGCTCTACGATACATTCGACAACTATTGAGTCGTGACATAATCACCACAGTGACGTGTAGCATTGTATCAAAAAGGCACGATTCTTGCAACATACTGCTCTATTGGACGTTGGCACGTGTTGTGATGGGTATTGCAAGTTCAACATACATTGTGGTTCATTTGTAGAAAGCACGTTGTGTGTAATGAGTGCCGCGTGCTGCTGCAGGAGAAGCGTGGGCGCCCACCTTGATCTGCGTGTCGGGCTTTGTCTTGAAGCAGACGGCGATGTACAGAGCGGGCGGAACGATGGCGATGAGGAGTGCCCAGCTTTGGTCGATTTGGAAAACGAAGGTGAAGCAACCTGCGCACCGGCACGAGACAAATACCACATGAGCTGTATATCATCATCATCATTTTCACCACAACCACCATCATCATTATCACCACCATCATAGGCATCATCATCACCGTCATAATCACCATCATTACCATCCTTATCACCACCACCATCATCATAACCATCATCATCACCACCACGATTGACAACGACAACCGTTCAACCAGCAGTAAAGTAAAGAGTGTACTCAGATTAACAGTCGTGCAGCCTGTGTGTAAATAATATATTTCTGAAAGAAACATGCAGCAGTTTGAATACCCCGACACACAAGCAATTCTACTCACAATATTATTAACATGCAAGCAGTGCGCATACGTTATGATGAGAGGATTAACACGAGCAATCACTTTGAGGCTGTGTGCGTTAAACAGATAATGATAGACGATTGTTATCGGAAAATATATCAATCAAAAATATTGTTGCAGGAACAACTGTGAATAATGACATGAAGCCATGCACGACTGTGAGCAGATGTGTTTCAAGTAAACTTTTTTTTAAACCAAACGTTTTATCATACCAGATAAACCCACTGAGCTATGTAACTCTTTTTTCAGACGCAACTTGGCCACAAATGATAACTCAACAAAGTGGCTTTTCACGTGGAAATTTATAGCAGCCAAATAGTCAAAACGCGTGATGTTGATTCTAAATGTGGAGAGAAGAACCGGAGGACCCGGAGAAAAATCAACACGACCACGAGGAGAGAAATACCAATTCCAATATACAGGTGTCAGAATAGAACCCACGACCTCCTGTATACCAGGCGAGGGAGTTAACACCTCTCCACCATGGCGCCCTCTCTTTTGATACAGTCCTTGCATCAAAAGGATGAACCCGGATAAATAAATAAAAACCCAGGACATGTGACAACCCGAAGTCACCTGCAATCATGAGACAGACAGTAGCCGGACCCATGATGGAAGTGGCCGTGTAGATGATCTGATAGAGAATGTAGAGCCGAGAGATGGACGGGTTCTTCTTGGCCGTGCGGATGCCGTTCTCCAGGATGCTGAAGGTGTTCGCCAACGTGGAGGGACCCCAGCGCCTCCGTTGGTTGAAGAACTCCTTGAATTCCTGCGGGGCGTTGGTGTAGGCATCCGATCCGGCGCAGTACTCGACGCGCCAGCCCTGCTGCAGCATCAGCGTGCACAGCCAGCGGTCCTCGCCTGCACCCACAAATGGGAGAGGGGACGACCGCGAGTGAGAGGGTAACCGGCTCATTGTACCCACAGCCTGGCCGAGTGGCGTTTCTCTGTAGCTGCACCAGCAGTAGCCGTCTGCAATTATCTCCCTTTGTATCGTTTTTTTGTATCTCCCACTGCTGCACACGCAGGAGCAGCAGCAACAAGCACCATCATCTGCCTTCAAGAAGCCGACTTTCACCTGTCAATGCTCTCACCTGTCACGGGTCTCACCCGCCCAGGATCTCACCTGTCCAGGCTCCCACCTGGTTCAGAGTGGTATATGAGGGACTTTGACCTTTCACCTCTGATTTCTCAATGGCACATTTCGTCAAATTCGCGTAGTGCGCATGTTATATTCATCGTGAATGCTGCAGGAGGTTCGTCTCTTCCCCATCTTGCTCACTCCACTGGTGGCAGAGGAGCTCGGCAACATTCCCTCTCTCGTGGTATTTTTGGCCTCCTTTCTGCAAGTTCGCCAGACGTTTTGGACAAAGATCTGGATACCCACACCTTAGAGTCGCCACACGCGACCTCCCGACCAACTGTGTGGGAAACCCATTCATACAGAGGGCGTGGTGGGGAGGGGAGCGGTGCATAAAAATCAGACTCTGAAGGCAGAGGCCAACATTCTAATGATTCATTATTCGTTCATTGTGGGTCCGATCATCGTGTAGGTATAATATCGGAATAATTCAAGTTGTCAATTGGGCAAATGTGAACAGATAGTTTTTTTTCTAAAAAAGTTAAATGTAAATAAATATTATATATTCATATTTATGTAAACATTCTCAATATTTTGCTGTCCTTTCAATATTCGGGTTTTGATAATTAAACCAAAACAATTGACGTAGTTGCCACATGACCGAACAACTTTACTCGATTGGCTTTGTCGGTTGGTGGACGCTTATAGTTAAAACAAATTAACACTATACCTACACGATAATCTAACCCAGCATGAACGAATTGTGAATCATGAATATTGGTCGTGAAAGCCTACGTATGAAATTGATGTTGCGGGGTCTCGACCCATGTATTACCGTGATGTATGGTGCGAAAGACGTTCTAAATACATACAACGTCCACTTTTGTCGACGGGATGTTCATAGAATTGTATTTTTTTTTCACCAATGCGACAAATCTGCATTTCCTACACCAGCCAAAAGGGTTGGGAAGGAAATTAACAATCAGATCGTAGTGTGGCTGAAGAAAATGTTGCAATTACTTCCACGATTTGTCTAAAATAATTTTTAAAAAATATTATTTTACCAGGTAAGGCCCCAGTGTGGCATGTAGCCCTTTTTCAAAAGCGACCTGGCAACAAATAAAAGGTCATCGAAGCAATGGCGGAGCCAGGATTTTCAGGTAGGGGGAGCAACCCCTCCAGCAATGAAAAATGATAGGAGTTCTTAGTAAGTATAAAGGACTTGTCCCTTTATTTTTATTTGACGCGTATGCGGCGATGGTGCAGCCATCGATAGAGGGTCTAATTCGAACTGCGTGTGTTCGGCATCACGCTCGCTGAAGGTATGCCTTCAGGGAAGTCGTGTACTGTATACGCAGCTTCGCACAATTCTGTGAGTCACTTATAACTGCTTTGCCGTTACTTATTGCCAATTATGGACTCATACTATTGTCCTATCATCTCATTGATTCCCTGGCACGTAATCATATGCTACACAGTGGCATTGGGGGTTGCAAAATGCCGATGCATTACTAATAAACCCCAATGATCCGATTGAATTAGGGATTTCGATCAGATCATTGGGGGGGCACATGCCACCCCGCCCCTCCACCCCCCACCCCCCACTTGCTCCACCAGTGCATCGAAGTGACTCATCATGTGGAAATTAATCCAAATGTTCTAAGCGCATGCTGTTGATTCTAAATGCGTAGGGAAAAACTGGAAGACCCGGAGAAAATTTCACGCAACCACAGAGAGAGAGACGCAAAATCCAATATACACTTGTCAGGGTCGGGATGGAACCCACGACCTCTTGTATACTAGGCAGGGGAATTAACATCTCGCCACCGTGACATGTACACATGTTGAACTTCTTTCACACCGCAGTAGCCAACCGTGCTAATCGGAGGTGCGAGATCCAAACACACGTCGACACTTACCTTGGTCGTACTGGATGTACTGCAGGGCCTCGGTGGCCACCGTGGTGTAGGTCTTGAGGACGTTGTCGTCCATGATGGCCTTGGCCCGGAAGAGGCTGAAGCAGCCAGGGCTGCAGAGAACGCAGCCCAGCACGTGCTCGGCCGTCTTCTGCAGCCAGTGGCCTACCGCGTACTCGAACTTCTGGTACCAGATCAGCGGCCCTGTCGGTATATAAACAATCGTGGTTAATTGGCTTAACGCAACTCATAGTGACAACCCAATGCAGCTGTCCTACAATTCAGGTGTGATTTTCCTGGATAAATATATGTTGTTTGTGGGTTGTATGTTGTATGCATGTTGTATGTATATATGTTGAAAAAACTACTGTGGTTTTTGCATTGGAACCACCACGAGAGGAAGTTTTTTTTTTTGAAAGCGTGGAGAGCTAGGTTAGAGCTTTGAATTCCGAGATTGGGAGGAAATGTAATTGTTGATTAAGGGGGATCAAAGATGGGTCAAGAGGAGGGGCAGGGAAGTACAAGAGGATGGAGAGAGAATAGGCAGGGGGACACTGGAGGGGAGGATCGGATACATTTGGGGGGTGTAGAGGGAGGGTTTGGAGGAAAAGTGGATGGCTAGAGGGTAGGGAAGGGAATGCTGGGGAAACGAGAGTAGGGGGTGATGAGAGAGGGGAGGAGGTGAAGGAGAGAAGCAAGCCGGAAAGAGCAATCCGGGAGGCCACAGTGGGAGAGCGGGAGTGCAGGGAGCAAAGGGATCGGTGGGGTCAAGTAAAAACGACACAAGCTCTTTAAATTATTCCTCTATTTTAATTGTGTATTTGTTATTTGTTAATTTTAAATTGTGTGTTCATAAATAGATAGACGCCTGTCCCCCCCCCCCCCCGGGGCCTCTGGCACAAGCTTAGTCATTATATATTTTGGACGTGGTTTAGTGGTAATTTATTGAAGGTGCAGGAGTTACCAGCCCTTCCCACCCGTCCAGAGCCCCCATTTAGCCGCTGTGGTGGCTACAAATGCCCTGAGGGGAAAGGCCAATCGGAATTGGTCCTCCCCCCACGGAACTGTCCACGACAACGTTGCCCGTCCAGCATCACGAGGATGTACACCACACACACATCCTGCACCACACACACGGCAGCTGTCTACGCACCGACGCCCGTCGGGTGAATTCTCCCACAGGCGGCGCCAACGGTGGGATCCCTCCTGAGTCGGTCGACCAGCATGGAGAGCGCCGAGGGGTAGAAGTCCGTGTCTCCGTCCAATGCCAGCACGTAGGTGTTGCGCTTTTTCCTCTGTAGTGGTGAACGGGGAGTAGTGGCACGGAGACAGTTCAGCAACAGCGTTGGCATTACAGCCGCGACCTCGTACAGAGCAAGCAAAGCAACCGCTCACTTCGCTCGTCAACCCCAACGCTCCTTCTCCAACCTCCAGCAACCAAACACACAATGTATGTATGTATGTTGTATGTATATTGTATGTATGTTGAACTTCTTTCGTACCGTACGTAGCCATTGGGAGGTATGGCCTCCGGACTATACGGGCCCTATCACTGGGTACCCCGTTCCCCTTCATCCTCCGGCTGGGGCCCTAGGGGAGGCTATCTGACCCGACCATACCCGGTCCGTGGGTCCTGACCACTGGCCTCACTGAGCTCCGACCCTTAGAAGGACAACGGAGCTTGGGGTCCAGGGTCCTATCTTCAGCCCAGGTCTTTGTTCTTCAGCTTGCAGATGACTGAGCCAGACCTCTGAGAGGTCCGGCTTATATACTGATTCGTGGCTTGCTCCGCCCTAGCCATGCATCCCTTCCAGAACTTTCTGGAAGGTGACATCATCCCCCGGTTCCCCCCTCCCGGGGCCCCGGGGAATGTGTCCCAGGATCCGTTTGCTAGGGTTTGTTGTTGGCCCCTTTTTTGGCCATGGACATTAGCCCTGGAGTGATAGCGCTTCCGCCCCCTATTGACGATAAAGGGAAGCTACCAGCCCACAGAGTGGTGGGTGACGATTACCCCGACATATGTATATTGTATGTATGTTGAACTTCTTTCGTAGCGTACGTAGCCAACCGTGTTAGTCGGGGAAGGACAACAAACTAAACACAAACCGCATTTCAAAATAGAAGAGTGTTCAAAATAGATTATTTAAAAGTGCATAGTTACAGTAGATTCCTAATAACAACCACGCGGGTCGAGATATCATTGTCATCTGCAGCGCTCCAACCTCTGGAAACAATCTCCCCGAAGCGGTGCGCACACTCGACTCCATAATAACTTCATTAACAGTGACAACTCAACAGCAACAACGCGGCTCTTTTTGCTTGCGTACAACAACAACTAACTCCAGCCATCCTCACAGCAGTGGCTTTTGGTGAGCCATTGAACAAAGATGGGCACTGCATATCGCGCTTTCAGATGCGCTTCTATGGTCGTCTGGAACGCTCTTCCTTCCGATATTAGGAAGCAACTGGAGCTATGCACTTTTAAATCATCAATTAGATTGAACACTCATTTCTCTATAACTGCGTTTTGTGTTTGGTTTGTTGTTCTTCCCCCCTACTTCTGATAAGCACAGTTGGCTACGTACGGTGTGAAAGAAGTTAAACATACATACAACTAACTCTCAGTCGCAAACCTATTTTGCTCATATTTTAAACAACTGTAATAAGTGTATGTATATAGATATTTCTTAATGTATATAAAGTTCGATTGCAATTTTTAATACCAACGTGATGATGGCGCGTTGAGTGACAAATTTCTGCCAGAGAGGTAACCAAAGATAGACTTCTAAATGTACCGACTCTCCGTGCACAGACACGCGTAGTACACGCTACGACTGTGTCACCACCCGGAGGCAGAGAGCACGAGAGAGAGAGGTATTAGCTTTTTTTCAGAAGTGACCTGGCTATCAAAAATGATAGCTCAACAAAGTGGATTTTCACTTGGATATTTATAGCAAATACACTAAATGTGTGATGTTGATTCTAAATGTGGAGGGAAAATCCGGAGGGCCCTGGTAAAATCCATACGACCAAGGGGAGAGAGACACTCAAGCTTCAAATATGCAGGCGTCAGGGCCGGGATCGATCTCAGTGCCTCCTTCATACTAAGTGAGGTAGTTAACATCTTGCCACGGCGGCGCACTAGCAGGGTGTATTTGGCCTACACTTCCACACTGCTCCCACGTCTTGGGGGAGAGAGGAGAGTACTCACACTCTACCCCACCGCACGCGAACTGCCCATCCACAGAATGTGCAGGGCTTACCCATTTATACTGGCAAGTGGAAGTGGAAAGCGGCCTCCACAAGGCCGGCTTAGCCTTAAATGAGTAAACATTAGCACTGGGGAGACAAAGGCGAATGGGCATGGTGTTGGACACACGACCCGCTCGTGTGCCGTGCCACCCTTAACAGGTGCTCGCTAACAGCACTTGCCTCAACAGTCTGTTAATGGATATATGAGGGATCGTTGTCTTTGCAGTTTACAAGACACTTACCTCCACCCATTCCTCTTGTTTTTCTTTCTTCACTGTGTGGATCTTGCGGTAGATCTTCCAGCCAAGGAGGTAGTACAAGTACATCACCTGCACAGAACACGTCAAGGGGTTTAATAACAACAATCACCATCACCAGCAGCAGCCGTGATCAATCGACTACTGGATTAAGACCTCCCCAAGTCGTCGCGATATCTCACGAGATCCTGAGTCGTTATCCACCCAGCACCTCCATTACCGACTGATTCCATCGCTCCATCTCCTCGGCAGCCAACCCTCCTGGATAAGTTCCATTCTTTGGCTGCCACTCGGTTATTATTCTCGACCCAATGGCCACGACCGCGCGTGCTGCCCAAGTGTAACTCAACAGCGCACATGAAACGAATTATTGATCATCACGTGATTTAATTTTCATATGAGGGGATGACTCGAGGTAGCATACAGATGGCTTCAATAGACGTGAGCAATTGCCATTTCCTCTGTACGGCAGATGCTGGTAACAACTCGTTGAGCGAGAGTTGTAACTTTACATCGAGGTGGTTGACGAGCCAGATTATTGCGTCAGGATTAGCGGAGTGGAGAATCATCGCTGCTGTGATGATGCCTCTCCCTTCGTTCGTGTTGTGAATCAGACGTTGAGTTGTTAGGAATGCATAGGAGCTATGCACTTTTAAATCTAGATTGTAAACTAATTTCTTTAGAACTGCTTTCTGTGTTAAATGTTTTATCCTTCCCTGTACCTCCGATTAGTACGGTTGGTAAGGTATGGTGTGAAAAAAGTTAAACATACATACGTATCATCGCCGGACACTGACCGGAGATATTTACTTTTCCAATTGTGCATAATCGTCATCGTCATGTAATAGCACATCAGCTGTTATTGTTGCTACTATGCTCTGTGTGTGGATGTGGTTGTAGGGCTTGTGGCCCAATGAGCTTTGGGGCAGAAGATCTGAAGCCCAGGGATGCAGCACATACCTGGGACCAGCGCTTGCGGTGGCGGATCATCTCCTTGTCCTTGAGGTGCACGCACAGCGAGTTGCCGTGCGGGAGTTTGTAGGAGAGTCGCGCTCCGTACGGCGTCTGAGTCCTCTCCATTGAGGGCGCCTCTTGTGGATTTTTCGAGTTTTTCTCAAAATACCTTCACATCAGCAGCAGCGCAAGCGACAGAGAAGACGCGCTCTAATGACTATGTTGCATTGTTGCTGCTACTGCTGTCATATCTGGGATGAAGTCTACAGTTGTTACCTCACAGCTGCACACGACAAAATGTAGATTATTTAGGTTATTTGGCTGCTATACATTTCCACGTGATAAGCCAATTCATTGCGCTATCATTTGTGGACGCTTCTTGAAAAAAATCAAATACCTTAGTGGGTCTTACCTGGTAAAATTAAAAATAGTTTAGTTAAATTTGTGTCTTTTGTGATATGCTTACCTGTCCTGTACGTGGCACTCCTATCGTGTTTTTGTATTGTTTGTTGATGTAATGTTCTGACCCGCCCCTGCTGGACATCTGTGAAATAGAGCTTTGCAGCTCATCGAATTCCACCTGCAGTATAAATAAAAATTCTGATTCTGAATTGAATAAAGCAGCAGCAATTGTGGGTGACCAATGATCCAGCACTCAAATATTATCTCCTAGTCGCTCGCTGGCTCACCGGCGGTCAGTCGCCTTCGTATCGCTCTTCTATTGCTACTGCTCCTACAACCATCGTTACTGTTCACACGAACTTCGCTGCTCGATTCCTCCACCCCCGTCGAGGGCCTCGGTCGCCCGGACTGAGTCGTCTCGTTGCCAACATTCTTACCAACGCACGAACAAAAGACAATGATCCCCCGTATAGCCTTCAACAGAGTGTTGGGGCAAGGACTATTAGCCAGTAGCACCTATGAAGGACGGCCCGGCACACGAGGGGGTGGGTGGCCAGCACTATGCCCGCCTGCTTGTATCTCCCCAGTGCTGCACCGTATTTTGTAAATTATGTCATGCGACTCGTGCACTCTAGAGCAAGGTTGGTTATGCATGGTGTGAAAGAAGACCAACGTACATACGGACGTACATAAAAATATGTGGCAGCCTGCTCAATTCAACACGAGCGTGAACGCTCATCTATCACACCGCCCACCACAGTGTTTCTGTTTGCCAGCCAATTTTCAGTTTGTGCACCTTCGAATCTGCACTCAACAACGGTGATGGTGACGCAAGGAAGGCCTTGCTAGGCCTGCGATCATCCACGCTCACGTCGGTCATCTGCGTGACCATCACCAATCTTTGTCATCGTTAACCGTGATCTATCCACTTCTGAACGAAGTCATCTGCGCAGGCTATTCCCATTCTTTTCTTGTTTTCGCGCACACCACGAGCTGAGCTTTACTTCCCTATGCTGTCACTTGCTTTGTTATTAGAAGACCAGTGACTCTATCCATCCTTCCCTCCCTCCACCCAGCTCATCGCGACCACAGAATAACATCCGGTGCACTGACCGGCAGACTTCGGCGATGACGTCCATGAGGCTGGTCACGAACTGGTTGACCACCATGTGATCTCCCTTCATCTCGAAGGCGTCATCGAAGTAAATGTGAGCCGAGAAGTCGTATGGTTCCCGCTTCACCGTCTTCTCCTTCTTCCCCTTCTTTTCTTCCTTCTCCTTTTTATCATTTTCCTCCTCCTCATTTTCTCCCTCCTTCTGCTTCTTTTCCTCTTCCTTCTTCACCTTTTTTTCGTTCCTTATCTCCTTCTTCTCCGTCTTCTTCTCCTTCTCCTCTTCCTTCTTGCCATTATTTTTCATCTTCCCTCTGCCGGCAGAGCCGACGTTCAGATCCTTCGGCTGACTCCTGTCCAGCCTGGCAGCGGCAAGGGGGAAGGGCGGTTATGTTATTCCGCTACTGGCTCCCCATCGAGTCAAAGTCACGGTACAGTATCGCTGTCCTCTGCAATCGAGCGCTCTACCAAGATCTCCCGCCGAAACGTTTCCTCCACCTTTCTCATCCCACTGATCACAGCAAACTTCCACCGCATCCTACGGAGTTCAACTCACAACGACTTCTACCCACAGCTGGGACCAGCTTCTGGGTGAGTGGCGTTTCTCTGTAGCTGCACCAGTCAGCAGTCGTCTGGAACTCTCTCTCTCTCTATTTATCTCCCACTGCTGCACACGCAGCAGCA